AAGGGAATCGATTCAATAAGAATCAAGATTTTAAAAAAATCGATTGAAAAATCGATTATTTATTGTTCAGAATAATCGATTTTTCAAGACTCGAAAAAGAATTTCGCATCACTATAATGCGTATTTGTGCGTAATATTAAATCTAAATAATTTAATTGAATAGAATCGAAATGGAGCAACGAGAGCAAGAAATAATGCCAATTTATGAAATCATGAATATAAATATCTTATGATCTTATAAACTGAATCGTATCATGGACAGAAACGTGTATTTTTATACTTTTTCATATTGGTAATGTGCTGGTAATGCACTATGTATACATTTCTACGAACAACGTAACCGAGTTATCCCAGTACGTGACCATTTGGCCGGGGTGGATTTCCGAGTTATCACGATTGATTGATATGTTTCTTTCGCGAGGTACGTGCATCGGTTCCCACGTCGAAAAGTGCACGTAAACTCTCGCGTGGTTTTATACAGCACGCGATAATCCGTGAATCATGCGAACAGTTTATATTTATACATCGACATATCGCGAGGACACGACGGTCATCCCAGCGGAGTGCGAAAAAATTCGTCGAAGTACCTTTAAGGTTTTCTAACGGTGGTCACACATATTTCACGAGCGTGAGATAAATGATCGTATAAGTATATTAAACGTATCTCGCGTTTTACCTTCCAGAAAATATTCATGCCATTTTTAGCACATTTTGAACTTTATGCCACAAATCTTGCACATTATCATATCAGATTCATTGTGCTATTGTGTAAGATATGTGCGCTTATATTTTGGTGCGGAATTTCGAAGTGAAATAAAGGGGGAAAGAGAAAAATAAAAAGAGAGAAACAAATGTTAACTATTTTCAAGACCTATTTTCGCTCATCAAAACAACGAAAAAGTTTGTTTATCCTACGCGAATTATAACGTGTGCCTGCACTCCGAAATTTACAGATAAAACTAGTAGGCCATACCAACGATTTATTTGTCATGTCTAAAATTGTACTTCAATTTCAATAAAGGTATATGTCTCGAAATAAATAATAATTTATCGCTAAATGTCTTTTTCAAATTTTAATAATTTTTAATAATTTAATCTATTCTATTCATCAGGAATAAAAAATGTTCGATTATAATTCCGAATTACAAGCATGTCCAAGAATTAACTTAAAAAAAGCGAATAGATAGTCATTATCCCTTTAGCTTTTAATAAAGTTTTTCTAAGAGAAATATACTTTAAAGATATATCTAAGTTAGTCTTTGAATGTCTTATAAAAGTTAAGTTGAGTCACAAAAAGAGAAGAGAAATCAGACATGTACAATGATTATCTCTTAACAATGTTATATAAAATTTAAAAAAAGTTACAATTTTTTTTATCTCGAGGAATTATACAAGTTATTATGATCAATGAAGTAAATAAAAGCTGCGATTAAGTGAAAAAACACAATCATATCAAGATAATGGATATCGAATTAATATCTTATATATGTAAATCCTTCTGTTTCAGCCCAAGAGGCCACAAGAACTGCCAACGACATAAATTTCGCTCTGTTAGATCCTGTCACAACTTGTCAAAAACAATTGCAATAAGATATATCGTAAGTATGGCTATACCGAATAATCGATTTAGTCGATAAGAAAAACAAATTGAAGCACAAATGTTTAATTTGTCTCTTTATCATTATTACACGGATAAACAAGTGATGGATAAAAAATCAATTAATTAACTTTTTTAGAAAAAAATATTTAGATATTTATGTGATTATTATGTGATTATTGTATACATTTCTTTTACCAAATATAATTTAACATTGTACGATTTAAAAAAATTTTTTTTAATGATTATTTTATTTATTATTATATTTACAATCTACATATTTTGTGACAAGTAAATAATTTGAAGGCAGAAAAATATCTAGTGACGACTCTTTTTTAAAATTCAAGTCTCCCGTAGAGGACGACTGATTATACTCAACCGATTGAAGAAACGCGAATCGAAAATCGATTATTCCTGACCATTCGCAGTATATCGGCGGTGCGTTGGCGTGGCGGGAAAACAACAACAACAACAACAACAACAACAACAACAACGACGACGACGATAACGAGGACGAGATAGGCGTCGCGTCGCACGCGCGACGTCCGACGATACATCGCGGGGGCGACGCTTTAATCGCCTACAAAGAAACAAAATCATGCGTCTCCTGACGGCGGCCGGCGCCGATATCATTCCCGCACGCAGTATCACCGAGGATGTATCGTTGGACAGCGATGTTGGCTCGCGCGGGTCCGAGAAGTGCGGCGGCAGCAGCAGCAGCAGCAGCAGCAGCAGCAGCAGCAGCAACAACGGGTGCAGCAGCAATTCCGCGACGGCTACGACCGCAACGATACAACGGCAGCGACAGCAACGATAACGGCTACGCCAGCGACGATTTCTGGGCATGTACGTCTTCTATCCGGCGGACGAGCTCCTGCGTATCTATGAAAACCCGATTCGGGAGTTCGTGCCATTGACCGTCAACGACGTAGCAGTGAGCGCTGATTACGAGAAGATAAATCAGCAGCATTATCAGCAGTTACAACAACAGCAGCAGCAGCAGCAGCAGCAGCAGCAGCAGCAGCAGTTGCAGTTGTATCAGCAACAGCGAATCGTCGTCGCGAACGACGTCCGGAAGCGCAAGGAGAAAAAGCAAGAGACTAGTCAGACAGCGACCGGCAGAAGGCAAGCCGTGCGTAACGGCAACGGCGGCGACGCCGATAAAAAAGAAGGACGACGAAACGAGGAGCAGCACGCCAGGACTATGCAAAATAATCGTGCCTCCGGCTCCGAAGAAGCCGCCAACCATCCCCTCAAGGACCTCACGCAGCCGAATCTCAATGAGCCGCTCAAGCAGCACAATGGCGTCGCGCTCAAGCTCGTCCAGACGGGTAAGTGCGTTTCCGCGATTCCGCAAATGTCCAGCAAAATCACAGATTGACAAATGAAATACTTGAATTCATCTAATTCGATCTTTTTGAAAGCATCATCTAGAAATTCGCATCGAAAATTATGATAAAAATACGATAAATAAATTTCTCATGGAAGAAAAAAGAGGAGGTGATCGATTTTAGATTTGATTAAAGGTAGATTTATTAAAGGGGAAATAATTTTGCCTTAGCTTTGAGCTGCTACGTTGTTAAAGTTTGTTAAAAATAACAACACGTGGTTCGCGATGTAAATAATTATACTGAATTTATTGATATAAATTTAAAAAAGGAAAATTATATTAGATACCTAAAATCCTATCTATTAAGTAATGTCATCCATTACTCAATTTTTTTAAATCAAAATTTTTAAGAAATATTTATAATTTAATGTAATATAATTAGTATAATTTTTTCTTCGATAAATATTTTGATTTTCTGCTTCTTTAATTAAAACATCACCCCACATTTTTATCTTTCTATTTTATCAAATAAATGTTTATGCATTATCAAAAAATATGAACGAAGCCTAATAAAGAGGAAACTTAAGGAAACAATTGCATATTTCGTTGCTTCCAGTGGCTTCTGGTTTCGCAGGAAAGAAATATATCTGCAAAAATAGAAGAAAAAAGAAATATATCTTAATTTTCAGAGGGTGCACAAAAAATGGCTTGCGCTTCTTTCGCGTTTTCCCAAGCGTATCTTTCTGAATTCTTTATTATGTCCTCTTAGAGGCTAATATTCATATAGCTAAGGTATTGTCGCAAGAATGTCCGCACAAATGGCTATGAAATACGTAACCTGAAAAATTGACTCCGTGGCCAACGATCCGAATTATACATGTATTTAATGTACGCTTGTATAATCACATAACTTCTTGTTGGCAGCTTCAAACTTCTACGTAAGTTAGAATATTACGTGTCTCAACTTGGCGAAAGTTTAATAGCTGTCGAGCGAAAATGGCTTAGGTTTAAATCGGCAAACTGTATAAGGGAGATGACATAATATCGAATCTCATTATAGAAATAACCGAAATTTCTACCGATTCTTAAAAAATAATTGCCGTAAAATTAGCAATTATTTCGTGAAAGTTCACTAAATGTTGAGTTCTAGCTTCCTTTAATAATGTATAATTCTATCTAGATTAGAAAGAGGAGGGACAAATGGTTCTAATCAAAAGACAAAAATTGCCCCAGAATGGAGACACCGAAATATTACACCAGTTTATAGTTATAAAAACTCGATGAAAAATAAATACGAATCGCCAGAATTTTTTGAAAAATATTTAAATGCATTCAGAACTACATAATATTTTATAATAAATAAAATTTTTGCGCGCGAGAGAGAAAATCGATAAACATCTCATATATTCATATATGTATTTCTGAAGCGGTAAAAATTATTTAAAATTATAAAGAAGTAGCGTTAGAACTTTTTATAAATCCACTTTTTATAAATCCATACAAAACTATGTAAATGTATTGCAATTTGGTAATAATTATTAAAAGAATTTACGCGAGACAAAGTGAGACGCTGCGTGATACTTTAATCCTGAAGCAATTTTTGGATTTTAGGATAATAAGGACAATTTGCTTAACCTAAATAGAACTGTAAAACTATTAAAAATGTAAAATCAAAACTTTTAATAGTTAATGAATTTTCCTGATAATACAGTTTTATGTATATTAATTTTGTGCTGAAAATTGTGTTGAAAGTTTGCTCAGATATTTCTTATTTAGTTCACGTACGTAAATACATACATACACATATATATATATATATATTAATAAATATAAATGAAAATAAAATTAACCTTTTTTCGAAATCAACTTTTAATAGCACAATGTTTGATAAATTTGAAATCAATATTTCCTTAATGAGAACATCGAGCGAAATGATTTGTCATAACTTTCTAATGTTTGTTATTAAATAATTTCAGAATTAACAATCAAATTAAAATGCTATTAATTCAAAGTTCGTCTCCGAGTAATTAAACGAAGAATAAAGTTTCATTATCATTTGTGTTCTCTAGTTGGCAAAAAGCAATTTGCATTCTCAATCGCTCGCAACACAAAGGCCATTAAATTTCTCGACATTTTGTTATGAGAATTCTTGTCTCCAGTTTATTCCGAGGAATCCGTCATTAGTGGGAGTAGCAGAAGTAGTTTGTATAAAATGTTAATGGGATGAAGTTTGTGTTTTCGGTCCCTCTTACTTAATGTATCACGTCGGGACACCATATATTCGCGTTAAGTCAGGACGCAGAATTAATTAAAGCCACTTGTTCTCGTTACCTACATCTTTCTGCGAATACATCATCTAAATAATTCGTCACAGTTGACCTTTTTCAATCCCCCTTTGACAATCGGTGTGTTCTTCGGCTACGGATCGGAAGGGATCAAGATTAATTAGCGCCTGGAAATGGCGGAGGCTAAGGAGGGTTGGCGAGCCTATTACTCCGCTGAACTCGAGGCTATCGGTCTTTGTCACTCTATCCTATCTGACCTATCGACCTCGATCTCCGAACTGTCACTTCATCGCGAAACTTATGAACCCACCCTCCTCTCGCTCGAGCGTAAGATCGCGATAAAATCAAATTTTCAGGGAATTTTCTTCGAATCGAATGGAAATATATATATATATATATGTTCGAATTCGGCGAATCGCAACTTATCGTAATTTATTCGCTCTCTCTCGATTTATGCACTCGTAAACTAAAAATTGTAAATAGGTCGCGAGCAAAAATACAGAATTTTATACTTTGAATGGTAGAGAACCGTCCGACTTGTAATATTCAACAAATACATGTCTATGATGAAAGACTTGCGAGGCGTCGATGCAATGAGCGAGATTGCAAGTGTCAGGAATAAAAATTCTAGGTAAAACTACCATTTCAAATTACGTACGTTTGACAGGAGAAATAGGAGATAAGCAAATCAGCTTGTTTTGCGAATTCTCACTTTTCTCTCGTAAAAATATCCTCATGGATGACACGCGCAGCCTTGCGGAAGGTCATTGAGCTGCGTGGAGTATATTATTCCGTTGATCTGACGCATCGTTTCGCCGTTTCGTTCGTCCAAACAGATGCACGGTAGAGTGAGTCATTTTGGCGTTATCCCGTCACGCCGTCCGACCGTACAAATTCGAATATTTCCGTATATGAACATTGCGCGTTCTCGAGGAAATTCCGCGAGCTCCGTTTTCGCAGGAGCGCAATCCCGCACACAAGAGCTCGTTACCGCGGTATAAATAGATCCTCGCCTCGTAGCGGATTTTAGAGTGTATATAATCACGGCCTCTTTCGTCAAACGAATCTCTCGAGGCTATCCCGTGTGCTGACCTGGATGTTTATTCGGTTCATCGGCGCGGCCAAATATCGTTGCCGCCTGGCCTGGCAATCCGCGACGGAAACGCGACGGATTCGATGAAGCGAACATTAATCGCCACGTAAACAAAGACCGGTGCCATGCTAATGTGGCAATGGCTGTCGAGTTTGTTTTTAGCCGGCCGCATATAAAAAATTAAAAGCCGCATCCTCCATCCGAAATAGTGAAAATGATGATGACCTATCTCCGGGAGCGTTTGCACAATTAAAGACGGATCAATGAGGATAATTGTAGTATTAGTGAGACTTGCTATTTACAGATATGTGCAATATTTCCTGATAATAATAATAATAATAATAATAATAATAATAATAATAATAATAATAATAATAATAATAATAATAATAAATAATCGAATAAATAATTATATACTGTTATATAAAAAAGTAAATGTCGCAATTATCTTCTATGTATGTATTATATTTAACATGTATTTGAATGAATTTCAAAATATGTAACGGAAATCATACGTTTTAATGATTGAAAATATAATTGTTTAATGTATTAATTATCGTTTTATTAATCGCATTTTGTATTGAATTTATTCTTTTATTTGTTATAGTTATGATCTTTTGTTTCTTCAAGAGAGTAAAACATTATTAGGAATTTCATCATTACAAACGAACATTTCGTCCATCGTTAAAAAATATTCCGATAACGTCATAATCATTCTGATTGAGCTTACGCACAAAGATGTAAGAAAAGATGATTATATTAATAAATAAGGTGAAAATCAATTCAATTTTTTTCGCAATTTCAATCGTATTCTCTTTACCGATCGTTATTTCGACATTCATTGACGCAAATTTTGACAAGATTGTTGTTGAACGAAGATAAGAAGGAACATAAGAATTGCTCTAGAGCGGGTTTATAGTTTATAGCTCGCGTGACACTGGGCGATCGGGTTCATCGAACCTACGAGACTCAAGGTATCAAGGTTGCACCCTTGGAGTCACGAAGGCTATTGCATTTTGGCCCGCATCATCGGACGAGTCGATCGCCGGCCGGTTGATTGCTCTGCCCGGCCGATCGGAATTTCACCCTCGGATCCCACCCTCTCCGATGATCCCGGTTTTCCTTTCCCTTAATCGTGACGTAACCGCCGTGTGCGCGTCACGGTTGTGCACAGAAAACGACGTGGATCATATTTTAATAAAGAAAGGAGTCTGGTTGCTACGGTAACTGCGAACAGAGCACGCGGCCAGCCGGCCAGGTAGCCAAGCAGGCAGGCAGGCAGGCAGGCAGAATATTGATTCACCCCACCTGAATTCAGGTCAACCCCTGACTAAACGCCGCGCGTTTCTGAGTCGGAGA